TGAACCCTGCCAGCCAGTGAAATAGGCCATCTATCTTTTGATGATTCTGGGAAAGCCCAACCTTTTTTGCAAAATTCATCTTAGTGAAAAATCCAGCCATGGCCTGAGATTGGACCCAGTCATTCCCACACATGGTGGCAAAGAGAGGGAGGAGCTCTTCCTTCATCCTGAAGTGAGCACAGAAACGGTCAGCAGAATACATTTGGGCTGGGATGTACTTGCTGCATTCAGTCACTTTATCCCATCGGAAATGGTTAGCAGGGAGGCACCCCCCCTTCAGGTCAAAGATAAAAAAGTCACTGTCTAACGTCAGCACAGGACAGCTCCACTCATTGGCCAGGGAGGCAACCTCCCTGTCAGCTTCAGCCATACACTGAACAAAGGGCACCTGGAGGCTAGAGAGGACCTCTTTGAAGACCTCTCTGATGAGCAGGGGCATAATTTCCTGCTTTTTTCCAGTAGACATGTCATGTGCTTCCTTGATCTTTTGCTGGGCTCTCTGCTTGACAGTGTCTAACTTTCTGCCTGAGTAATCCTTTCCACCATCTAACACTACAAAAGGTTTTATTTTGCAGATGGAAAGGGCTTTGAAAAAAATTCTAATTGTGTCAGCAAGGGCATCATAATCCCCCCCATGCTGCAGATCCAAGGTGGGCCAGAAAGCCAGATAGTAGAGGATATTTGATCCATCAATGATGAGCTTCGTATCTTGAACCTTCACCTCCTGAAAAAAATCTTTTTTTCCCATAACATAACTGTAGAGTCCTCGAACTCCCATGATGACGTAGATTTTTTTGTACAAAAACACTCATAAAGAGAAGTATGGCAGAAATTTTCCTTTCCTATTTATAGAATGGAAAAACAGAATTACAGAGGCAACAGTTACATCAAGTTTTTCTTTTAATTCTGTTTCAGGGGCATTGGAGGGGCATGGATACCCTGGCTGACTCAGGGGGGCAGCATATGTCAGTGGCCCTTGAATATGTAAAATCCTACGTAAAATTGGGCGGGGGGGGTCATTTTGTCTGGTGGCCCAATAGTTCTAGGTATGCCTCTGTTCATAGGATCATAATATGAAATTCTTGCGTGCTTCCTACATACCAAAGTACAGTTGCAGATGAATAGATTTTAAGACTTTACATTCGGTTTCTCTATTGTGAAAACGAAACCTTTTATGTTTGCATTTTGTATTCACTGGAATTTCTAGAACTCAGTGAATGAATGATACATTAATAACATTTTGTAGGTTTAAATCAGTATTATCATCTAATATCACTTAAATCCATTAATTTATTATTGCTAATAAAAATAATAATAAACCCTGTCACTACAGGGAAGCTGTCAGTTGGTGCTTCTTTCATAGCCAAATGCGAATAACATTGTTACACAACAGTTGAATATTTCAAATGATTCCTGGTCAAAGCAGTGCAACAAGGTCACTGGCAAAGCTTTTATCTAAATACACTGCCATCCAACTGATTTCATTACAAAATGAAAACATGAATAATAATACATAATATTTAGGTTTTTTTTATTTATTTATTTATTTATTTTTTACAAATTTCACTCGTGTGTGTGTGCGTGTGTGTGAGAAACATATATATGTTTCTAGAAAGTCAGAAGGTCCATCTACAAATCCAGTTTTCAATAAAAATACACCGAATGATCACCTTACCTACTTCCTTGTCGATGTTCAAATGTCAGATGACAGGACTGATCCTCTCTGCCAAGCCCATTCTTTGACGTAATTGTTTTGAGAGGCTTAGTTAGCAAATATGTTTAGCAGCAGAGCTGACATATGTAGCGAATTACGCCCCACCTTGTAGGGAAAAATGGCTGCTATCCTACCCAGGGAGACTAAGTAATGAGAGGACCTGAGTCCCTCACCCCAAGTTCTTTTAGTCCCAGTATTTGTGTGCAAATGTGTTTTACCCGTCCTGCTGCGGGGAGATGTCAGAAGACAGGTTCAGGAGATGAAATGGACACGGTGGCACCATGAAGTATATATGCTTTCGGCTAGTTATAGATATAACCTGCCGGCAGGCCTGAACCAACTTGAGCAAGGCCTGCCTGTTCGTCACCTGAAGTCATATCCAGATTCTGATCATAGCAAACTATTTGTGCTACTAGTGCTAGACTGCAATCTGCACTCTAATCAATGTCCGATTCTGGTGTCGCTACTGGAACGCAAATAACATCAGGGCCCACTATGTCAGCATCTCCATCAGGATGTTCTCCTGACTTATGACTACTTGGACAACATGGCTGTAACTGTAAAGTACAATATTTGAGTTGATCTCTGCGAACAACTCTGTCAGGACCCCCTTCCTCTGGACAAATTGTGTAAATAGGAATGTCCTCATGGTTCTGTGTATTAAGACGCACTTGCGGACGACCACGTTGCCTAGAATTAATCATTGTCCTACTGTTACTGTCATACAGGTGATTGAAGTATTGATTGATTCTGATCGTGTATGGACTGATCATCCTGAGATTCAAGTACGTCGTCCATGATTCACCTATAACAGCAGTCATTAACAGGCGGACCGCGGTCCGGGTCCGGACCCAGAAGCTGTCCCATACGGACCCGGACTGACAGCCAAAACATTTAGTTATTATTTAAAACCTGACGGGGCGCTTTTATTTTAANGTCAGCACAGGACAGCTCCACTCATTGGCCAGGGAGGCAACCTCCCTGTCAGCTTCAGCCATACACTGAACAAAGGGCACCTGGAGGCTAGAGAGGACCTCTTTGAAGACCTCTCTGATGAGCAGGGGCATAACTTCCTGCTTTTTTCCAGTAGACATGTCATGTGCTTCCTTGATCTTTTGCTGGGCTCTCTGCTTGACAGTGTCTAACTTTCTGCCTGAGTAATCCTTTCCACCATCTAACACTACAAAAGGTTTTATTTTGCAGATGGAAAGGGCTTTGAAAAAAATTCTAATTGTGTCAGCAAGGGCATCATAATCCCCCCCATGCTGCAGATCCAAGGTGGGCCAGAAAGCCAGATAGTAGAGGATATTTGATCCATCAATGATGAGCTTCGTATCTTGAACCTTCACCTCCTGAAAAAAATCTTTTTTTCCCATAACATAACTGTAGAGTCCTCGAACTCCCATGATGACGTAGATTTTTTTGTACAAAAACACTCATAAAGAGAAGTATGGCAGAAATTTTCCTTTCCTATTTATAGAATGGAAAAACAGAATTACAGAGGCAACAGTTACATCAAGTTTTTCTTTTAATTCTGTTTCAGGGGCATTGGAGGGGCATGGATACCCTGGCTGACTCAGGGGGGCAGCATATGTCAGTGGCCCTTGAATATGTAAAATCCTACGTAAAATTGGGCGGGGGGGGTCATTTTGTCTGGTGGCCCAATAGTTCTAGGTATGCCTCTGTTCATAGGATCATAATATGAAATTCTTGCGTGCTTCCTACATACCAAAGTACAGTTGCAGATGAATAGATTTTAAGACTTTACATTCGGTTTCTCTATTGTGAAAACGAAACCTTTTATGTTTGCATTTTGTATTCACTGGAATTTCTAGAACTCAGTGAATGAATGATACATTAATAACATTTTGTAGGTTTAAATCAGTATTATCATCTAATATCACTTAAATCCATTAATTTATTATTGCTAATAAAAATAATAATAAACCCTGTCACTACAGGGAAGCTGTCAGTTGGTGCTTCTTTCATAGCCAAATGCGAATAACATTGTTATACAACAGTTGAATGTTTCAAATGATTCCTGGTCAAAGCAGTGCAACAAGGTCACTGGCAAAGCTTTTATCTAAATACACTGCCATCCAACTGATTTCATTACAAAATGAAAACATGAATAATAATACATAATATTTAGGTTCTTTTTTTGATAAATTTCACTCGTGTGTGTGTGTGTGTGTGTGTGTGTGTGTGTGTGAAACATATATATGTTTCTAGAAAGTCGCAAGGTCCATCTACAAATCCAGTTTTCAATAAAAAATACACCGAATGATCACCTTACCTACTTCCTTGTCGATGTTCAAATGTCAGATGGCAGGACTGATCCTCTCTGCCAAGCCCATTCTTTGACGTAATTGTTTTGAGAGGCTTAGTTAGCAAATATGTTTAGCAACAGAGCTGGTGTAACAGGTGTAGGGAGATTTATTTATTTCACCTCAAATCCTGATTTTATATAGTTTTGTGTAACAGTTTTGTTATTTACTTGTATTGTATTTTTGTTATTCTTTTTTAATTTACTTGTAACTGGCCTCTGATCTCCTTGGTTAGGTCGCTTCTTAGGGATTTGTGCGTCTCTCCCTCTACTGAGGAGAGATACATTCACTCGTTTATTTGTCTATTTCTCAATGACATTAAAACGTAAGACACAAACCTTAAAAAGCGTTATGATTTTATTATTACATAGATAATGAGTTTTTATCTTGTTGAAAAACTGCAAGAAAAGGTCCGTTGTTGGCCGCTTTGTAAGTTACCGGTGTGGGGGGGCACCAGTGTTGGCACAGTGTCACATATGCAACAGCGGTTTAGCAACTAGTTCGCTGAGAAGGGTGGCGTTTTGTTTCCTTATATGGTGCTGCCCAGTCTAATAGGAAGACATCCTTTCAGAGATACCACACCTAACTCACCACCAGTGCATTTCCTCATGACCACTGTGCTGTTAGTGCAGTCGAACAGACAAGATGAACTGTCAAACATTCAAATGTTAATATAGTTTATTGAATGCATGATTATACAAGCAGGAAATTGCCCCAAGATGTGAAACTTACAATTATTCCATGGCACATATGAAGAAGGTGCTCAGATCTTAGATGTGCTGTACAAGGACATATGAATTATGGCTCGAAAAAGAAAAAGGCCAGAGGACAAGAGATTAAAAACAAAGAAAATCCCTAAAGAATGACAACAAACTAAAAAAGTAAAAGAAAAATTGGATCTTTTCGTGTTAATTGTACATGTGTGTATAGTAACAGCGCTCATGTTTAGCAGGGCCTGTCACAGGCCAGCACACTATTGTGGTGTTTGGCACAGTGTTCAGGGCCTGAAGTATTGCAGCTGATGTGCTACTTGCCTCACTTATATGTAACTTTGGACAAAAGCATCTGCTGAATAATAAACAAAAATGTGTAAATGTTAAGCTTATTTCATGTGATTAATGAAGAATTTCGGTTAAATGAATTACAGAAATGACAGTTTCTTTCAGCGATGTCTTCATCCTAAGATCTGGGGAGGGGAGGGGGTGAGAAGCTGATAACTGAATGAGGAAGCTGAGAAGAGTGTGGGTCAAACATGTGAACCAGCAGCAGCAACGTCTGCCAGTCACACTGCCATCACAGCGCCCCCTTTTGGTAAACTTTGTAATGACCTCTATCTGCATGACCTCAATAGAAAAACGTGATGTNAAAAGGAGGCAAAAGAGGCTGTCATTGGATGGATTCCTTGTTAAAGTCGCACAAACAGAAAAAGATTCCAGTGAGCCAACAGATAGCAGTGATTCCGTTAATTATAGTGAAAGTCGTCCTACAAAATAACCCTCCTCTTCTCCTCTCCCTCACACCATCCACGATTTTTTTCAAAGGTAAAGCGCAGGTTAATTTGTTTTATGTATTTTTTCTTTATATTTTGTATTAATAATTTTTATATGAATATTTTTGAGTTGTGGAACGGATCATATGAGTTTCCATTATTTCTAATGGGAAAATTCGCTTTGATATACGAGTGCTTTGGATTACAAGCATGTTTCCGGAATGAATTATGCTCGTAAACCAAGGTACCACTGTATATATAATACCTATTTGTAACATTATTATTATTATTGATATTGTTGTTATCATTTTTGTTGTTTGATGTCCTTGTAACGAGGGTTATGTTTCTTATGGTTGTTTGTATTCTATATTCCCCTACACTTCCTTCTCTCCATCCCACCTTCATTATTATTCTTACTATTATTTCTGTATACCTTTGTTTTCTTTTTTTTTTCCCCTCTCCCCATGGTGATTAATGTCTGATATTGTTACGATTATTGTTTCTGTGCCCCCCCCCCCCTTTTTAAAAATATTTTATATTTTTATATATTATTTTATATGTACTAGGACGGGTGAGAGTTCGGAGCGGCCACACTCTTTACTCTGTACCTTTAATTTAATGTAAAATAAAGTTGTCCCACGAAGAGGGGGGATGGTGGTGGGCAATAAAATAAAAGAGAGCTACATGTATTATAATGAATACAATTAAATGCTTATTTAACCCTTTAGCCACAAAACACATAAATTACACGGATGGTCATAAACATTATAATAATAATAATAATAAATTTTATTTATAATGCACTTTTCATTAAAACAAATCTCATATATATTTTAATCATGCAAGGATTATGCTTGCAAATGTCCTTCTCCCATTGGGGAGCAGCAGCTGGTCCATGGCCAATCGAGCAGAGACGTCCTCCTCAGAATATCGATGCCTCTGTGAACCAAATCTCAGATATTCCTGAGGAGGTGGAGGGCATGGGCTCCTGCAGATGAGAGACAAGTATTTACTGACCTTTTAAACAACCTTCAGCAGTTCAGGGGTGACACTTAATATATTTGACTGGGATTGCTGAGGGGGTACTTGTGTATACATGTACCCCCTAAACAGCATGATGTAACTCGGAATGATGGGGGTGAAGCCGAGTTCTAATTTGACCTGCATCATGGTATTTAGGCTCTGGTCAGGTGAGGTCTGAGGAACACGGAAACGCCTATTGACCAAACCTATATGTTCAGTTCAGTGTTTGGGTTGTCTTAGTGTGTCTGTGTGTTGGGTGCTGAAGGAGGAGCTGCACTCACTGCGCTGCTGTTCATGTCGGTCAGCTCATACATCTCCATGTGGAAGGAAGTGCTGGGGCTTGGTTCTGCGCTTCCATTCCACTGACTTGCAGATCCAGCTTCACGTAAGAGTGGGAGGAAATAGTGAGTGTTACACTCTCTCTCAAACACACACACACACACACACACACAGTAGATGTACATGGTAAAAAGAATGTACTGTACCTGAGCTGCTGTTGTCAAATTCAGAGCCCTGGCCCTCCGCAGTTGGCCAGGAGGACAGGGAAATGCCCGCTTCCAAATTTGCCTCTCTTCGGTGTTGCGGGACCTGTGCAGGGACCACATCGTCGTGATGTGCTGGGTGCAGGTAGGCATGGGCATCAGGAATGGCGTGCAACAGCAGCACCAACCAGGCCTGTGCCACCAGTATCTGCGCCTGCAACTGGTCCTTCCAGCCTGAGGACTGGCCAGACTGCATTTTCATGGTCCCATAGTACTTAGCCAAATACATGGCCCACATTATGCCAGAGGCCAAGCTCATGGTGAATAAACACATGAACCTCAACCCGGAATGTGGCTGCCCCGGAGCCAAGCCACAAGTCAAGGTCACTGGCACTGCTAAGAACAGGGCCAGCCCGTACATGCAGACCATGGAAATCTGCATTGGCTGGTACTGGCAGACCGGCTGGCCTGGGTGGAGCGCAATGGCCAGTATCCATTCAAAAATGGTAATACCCTGCATTACGGCCAAGCCTATCGCCAGTGCTGCCAGGGCCCTGAAGCAGGAGCGCCTGAGCAATCGCACACCCTGGGAAGTTAGGTATGCGATGCTCAGGACATATAGCACCCCCCAGAGGGCGTGTCGAGCAATGCACACACGCTCCTCACTCTCAATGACGTGCACAAAGCTGACGGCACAGAGCACGATGATGGTGGCGAGGAGCAGGAGCAGCGGTGCCACCCCACTGCGTGCCTCAGGCTCTGTGATGCGCCCCAGGCGGCACAGCAGCACCAGGGCCAGGATTAGTGAGGCCAGGACCGCCACGCCTGCCGCCACTGTCACCGCCACGCCCCACTGTGCGTCCAGGTCGCACAGCGCAGTGAAGGGCCTCTTCAGGAGGCCACAGCCTCGAGGAGAAGCCTTATCCTCTGCAGAGCTGCAGCCCACCAGGGAGAGGATGAGGAGGATATGGAACACCGAAGGTATTGCCATTGCTGACAGAGAGAGAGACAAAGAAATCATTTTTGGTCTGAGCAACATACCATCAGTGTTTAACTACTGTAAAAAAACTGTATTGTGAGGTAGCAGGTTTCCACCATTTAGGGAAAAAAACGAAGAAGCAGAAGGATATACAGTGGAACCTTGGCTCATGAACTTAATTCGTTCGAGGACTCAGTTCGTGACCCGAAAAGTTCGCGACCTGAATCAATAGTTCCATTTAAAATAACGTAAATACAAAACAATTCGTTCAAATATCAGAAACACTAATTTTTTCAATTTTTTCATGCCTAAAATTTTTATATATTTATGTACATTTCGTGATGCAACGCAATGTATGGTGATGAACTTGTTTGTACTGTAAACAAACAATATGCAGTTGCCACTGTGAATGCAGAATATAACACTTAAATAGGAGTTCATTTATGCTATTAATGAAGTATTGTAATTTTATGTATAGATATGTGACTGTTAAAAACCATCACAAACATGTTTATCCATCACTGAAAGGTACTGCTATAACAGAACGTTCTCGCTCTCTAAGTTTTTATACATTCCACGACCGTTCTTGGGCATACTGTACACTGTTCCGTGTTTCGGGTAGTTCTTTGGGGTGCCTTTGGGGGACGTTTGTGTGTTCGCAGCCTGAAACACGGTTCGCGAACCGGTACAAAAAATTTTGGAACGTCTGGTTCGTAACCTGATTTGTTCGTGAACAGGGGCCTGTACTACAAAACGGCGTTACGGGCTTATCGCGGTAAATTGTCGGATTTATGGTAGTCTGGGCAAAATATAAGTGAACGAATATGAAGTCCATTTAAACTGTGGTACCTTAAATCTAAGTTACCCCGATAAACTAGTAACCCCGATTAGTAGTACAGGCCACAGGACTGTTCGTGGGTCGAGGTACCACGTATGTATCTAAGTTTTTCAAAAGCAAAAGAACGAGTGGATGACTTGATGGCTAATCTGCAGGTTTGAAGTACACATTTCAGATAGGGGGATTACGTACCTTGTCGACGTCTGTCGTCTTCACCAGCTCTCAAAACACACCAACCACTTGAGTTCATTTTCATCTAAATGACCAAGTATTGCGTTGAACTACGTATTAAAGAACGCTTGTCACGCGACGATTATTACGTCTTTTAGAATCTCACATACGTCAAAACTGGCACTTCGAAAAAAATAACACCATTTTGAATACAAACAAGGAAAACTTCAAACAAAAACAAGCAAATGGTCCCTGGATAAGGCCACTTAAAATTAATAAATTGTTTTACATGGCCGCCCGCCTCAATTTTTTGGTGCCGCCTCGATTTTTTTTATATTTTATATTTTTCAAAAAATCCG